CTGCTTCCAGGTCTTGCCAGCTGAGCGCCGGCCTTCCATCATGGCCCAGAACTCCTCCATCTGGCCCTCGCAGAGGTTCAGGTCCTCCAGCTCGGCGAGCAGCACCTCCGCGTCCCAGTCCGAGTCGTCGCCCGAGCCGCCGCCCTCCTCATCGTCGTCGTAGTAGGTGGCGTCGTCCTCCTCACCTTCGACACCAACCTCTGACCGACCTGAGGGAGGAGGAGGGGAGGTCTGAAAGGCACTGGTCGCAGGGTCGCTAGCACTCGGGCCAAGGCCCTCACTCTCAGCAAGCAGTGCAGCTCTCCCGCGGCCGGGGAGGAGCCGCTCCGCGCCTCCGGCGTCCATCTGTTTCAACGCCCAGGCTACGCTCTCGAAGTCGGTCTTGCCCTGCGTCAGCGTGCGCAGGTTCTGGATTCCCTGCGATGACAGCCCGGCTCCTTTCTCGAGTAGCAGCCCCTTCAGCTTGGAGCTCATCCAGAGATCCATGCCCTCGGCCTCCTGCAGCTGCGCCTCCCTGCGGTAGACGAACTGCGTGAGGCCCTCCTTTGCCTCGCGGGCGGCCTCGAAGAAGGCCCTCCTGCTGGCGCGCCGGAGGTCGTCACCCTCTCGCTCTCCGGCCATCAGGTCCATACGCTGGAGAATGACGTCGAGCCACTCGGACGACACCAGCTTCTCCTCACTGATGTCCTCGAACTTAGCCTGGAAGCTGTATTCGAAGAGCTTCAAGAACTTCTCCGCACGCCTCCATAGCTTAACGTCGGTGTTCGTGCTCCAGCGCCTTAGCGCTCGCTTCCATTGTCTGTAGTGTGCCCAACCGGGCCAGCTGGGTGGATCGCTGATATCTGATCGTCCTCCCCAGCTCTCTCCGCCTTTCCACGACGACTTCCAGCGGTCACTCCATCCGCCGTCCCGGTCGCCTTGGCCCAAGGTCTCCCCGGACCTGGTCTTGCCTTGGCCACCGTCGCCGCCGCTCCAGCCGCTGCGCCAGTCGCGCCACCTGCCCTCGCCGTCGGCCTCCTTGTCGCCGTCGCGGGGGCCTCGGTCTCGACCGTCTCGCCAGGGGTCCTTCCCGGACTCCTGCCACTCGTCGTGGTCCTGCTCCCCGCGGGCTTCGCCTCGGCGGCCCTCCGGACTTCGAGCTCCTGATCCGATAGTCTCCGAGACTACACTCTTGATCAACTCCCTGAGCTCATCTCGCCGGATGGTCACCGAGGGCTCTTGGCTGCCGGATCCGCTTCCTGGAGCTGATCGGCTGCCCTCGCCCACGTGGAACTCGTTTGCCTCCGTCCCGTCCTTCCCGTCGTCGGGCATGACCCTTGGCCGTGGATCCCACGCTACCTCGTCGGTGCGAACGCAGACGTGGGCAAGGACGCGCGAGCGGGAGGTCGCCTACCGCCTGGCAAGGTAGCCTCCGCCCATGGCTCCTCGCCCCGGGCCACGTTCCGCTACCAACTGTGGCAGACGGAGACAGACTAGGTTTTTTGCCCTTGAGCCAACATGGTCACGGAAATACACACCTGATGCTGAACCTATCGGGCAAAGTATGCACCACTGCAACACCCCCCCACTGTCGCACTGTCCCCACTGTCCCCACCACGGTCCCACTCTCCCCACTGTCCCCACCACTGTCCCACTGCCCCCACTCCCCACCACCATCCCCACCACCGTCCCAACCACTGTCCCCACCACAGCCCGCCATCCGGAGTGGGGGAAGCGGGAAGTCGTTGCAGCGAGTGGGGGGAAGGCGGGGGGGGTCGAACTGGTAGTGACCCCCCCCCCGATTTTCTGGGGGGGTTCGAACCGGTAGTGACCCCTCCCCCTTTTCATGGATGGACCAGAAGGGGGGGAACCCCAAGTGACCCCCCGGTGGGGAACGGGCTGTTTTCTGCCAGCAGCGGCAGAACACGCTGTTGCGCATCACGACAAACATCATCACCATCACCATCAGCATCATCATCATCACCACCACCACTACAACCATCATCATCATCATCATCATCATCAGCAGCAGCAGCAGCATCATTATCATCATCATCCTCATCCTCATCATCATCCTAATCATCAGCATCAGCATCACCATCAGCATCATCATCATCAGCAGCAGCAGCTTCAACACCATGAGCAGCATCATCACCACCATCATCATCACCATCATCGTGATCACCACCACTACCACCAGCATGATCATCAGAGAGAGCGTGATCCACCGCCGTCTTACTGTGGAAAATTGCCGCCCTTTTCCTCCGGAGCCCGGGGGTCCCCCCCCCCCTCCGAAAATCCCCCCCCCCTGCTGGAACCCCTCCCCCCCCATTCCCCCGGCAAAACCCCCCCCCCCCCCCCTCCCCTAACCCCCCCCCCCTCGAACTCGAAAACCGGGGGGGGTCACTACGGTTCGACCCCCCCCCCCCCTCGAAAACCGGAGGGGGGGGCACTACCGGTTCGAACCCTCCCCACCTCCCCTCTCACCTCCAGCAAACGACTCCCGGTCCCTACCACCGTCCTCACCACATCCCCCACTGTTGTTCCCAGCACCACTGTCCTCACCACCACTGTTCCCACTGGTTCCACCACCGCCCCTACTGTCCCCACCAGTGCCAGCACCACTGTCGCACTGTCCCCACTGTCCCCACCACTGTTCCCACCACGGTTCCACTCTCCCAACTTTCTCCACGACTATCCCCACTGTCCCACTGACTCCTCCGCTGTCCCACTGAGCTGTCCAACTGTTCCCACCACTGTCCCCACTGTCCCCACCACTGTCCCCACTGTACCTCTGTCCCATTGTCCCACCGCCGTCCTCGCCACCGCCTTCACCACTGTCCCCACCACCACTGTACACTGCACTGTCCTATTGTTTCCACCACATTCCCACTGTCCCCACACCATTGTCCCCACCACCACCGTCCCCACCACTGTCCCACTGTCCCCACTGCTCCCACCATTGTCCTCACCATTGTCCCCACCACTACCGTCCCCACCACTGTCCCACTGTCCCCACCACTGTCCCGCTGTCCCCTCACCGCTGTCCCCACCACCACCGTCCCCACCACTGTCCGCACCCCGCCTCGGTTTTCGAGGGGGGGGGGGTTCGAACCGGTAGTGACCCCCCCCGGTTTTCGAGTTCGAGGGGGGGCGGGGGGGGGGGTTCGAACCGGTAATGACCCCCCCCTTTTCATGATGAACTGGGTGGGGGGGGAGAGGGGTTCGAACTGGTAGTGAACCCCCCCGGTTTTCCGGAGGGGGGGGAGGGGTTCGAACCGGTAGTGACCCCCCCTCGGTTTTCCGCCAGCAGCGGTAGAACACGCCCTTTCGATCATCATCAACAGCAGCATCATTATCAGAATCATCATCATAATCATGATCATCACCAGCAGCACCAGCACCAGCAGCATCAGCATCAGCATCAGCATCAGCATCAGCATCAGCATCATCATCATCATCATCATCATCATCATCATCATCATCATCATCATAATCATCATCAGCAGCATCATCATCCGCATCATCATCCTCATCCCCCTGGTCCTCATTATTGTCATCATCATCATCAGCATCATCATCGTCATCCTCAACATCATCACCACCACCATCATCATCACCATCATCATCACAAGCATCAGCAGCAGCATCATCACCATCATCATCATCATCATCATCACCATTATCATCACCAGCGTCATCAGAATCGTCATCATCACCATCATCATCGTCATAAGCATCACCATTATAATCATGGTCATCATCATCAGCAGCAGCATCAGCATCGTCATCATGACCATCATCAGCATCATCATCCGCACCCTCATCTTCATCCTCCTCGTCCACATCATCATCATCATCATCATCATCATCATCCTCATCATCATCGTCATCAGCAGCATCATCATAATCATAGTCATCATCATCAGCAGCATCAGCATCATCATCAGCATCAGCATCATCATCCTCATCCTCAGCATCATCATCAGAATCAGCATCATCATCATCATCACAATGATCATCAGCAGCATAATCATCATCACTATACTCGTCATGATCATCATCATCATCATCATCATCATCGTCGTCGTCGTCGTCATCGTCATCACCTTTATCATCATCAGCACCACCACCACCATCATCATCATGGTCAGCATCATCATCATCCTCATCATCGTCATCACCATCACCATCATCACCATCACCATCATCATCATCATCATCATCATCATCACCACCATCACAATCAGCATCATCATCATCCTCATCCTCAGCATCATCATCATAATCATCATCATCACCATCAGCATCATCATCATCAGCATCATCAGCATCTTCATCATCACTATTTTCGTCATCATTATCATTATCGTCATCGTCATCGTCATCGCCTTTATCATCACCACCACCATCATCACCATTATCATCATCGTCATGATCAGCATAATCATCATCCTCATCATCATCGTCATCATCATCACCATCATCACCATCACCATCATCATCATCACCATCATCATCACCAGCATCAGCATCATCATCACCAGCATCAGCATCAGCATCAGCATCAGCATCAGCATCCTAATCGTCAACATCATCGTCACCCATCATCATCACCATCATCATCATCATCATCGTCATCAGCATCATCATAATCATAGTCATCATCATCAGCAGCATCAGCATCATCATGATCATCCGCAGCATCACCATCCGCATCCTCGTCCTCATCCTCCTCGTCCTCATCATCATCATCATAATCATCATCATCATCATCATCATCATCATCATCATCATCATCATCATCATCATCATAATCATCGTCATGATCAGCATCATCATGATCATCATCACCATCAACATCATCATCATCATCTTCCATCATCCAACATCCATCATCCATCATCATCAACCCATCTACACATCCACCCATCCAGCCATCAGTCCATCCACTCTCCGCACCCACCTCTCCCCTGCCCGCCCTCCTCTCCGCCCGGGGGCGGGCCGGGGCCGGGGGCGTCCTTGGACTGGTTTTCCGTGAACCAGGCGTTGAGCTGCGCGGAAACGTCCGCTGCCCGCGCCAGCTCTGCGCCCAGCGCAGCGGCAGAGGCGGCCGATGCGGCGGCCTCCTCGCAGATCCGCCGCAGCTCAGCTGGGAGCTCCTGCGCGCTGTGCTGAGGAGGAGGAGGAGGAGGAAGAGGAGGAGGAGGAGGGGGAGGAGGAGGAGGAGGAGGAGGAGGAAGAGGAAGAGGAGGAGGAGGAGGAGGAGGAGGAAGAGGACGGAGGAGGACGAAGGAGGACGAAGGAGGCTGAGGAGAGAGGAGGGAGGAGGGCACAGGACGCAGCATAGAACGTGCAAGCAACGAGTCGGAAACACGCCAGCGCAGATATGGGAAAGAGCGTGTTCTACCGCTGCTGGCAGAAAACCAGGGGGGGTCACTGATGGTTCCTAACCCGTCCCCCCCCCCCACCCCCTCGAAAACAGGGGGGGTCACTACCGGTTCGAACCCCCCCCCAACCCCCCCTCCAGTCCATCATGAAAAGGGTGGGGGTCACTACCGGTTCGAACCCCCCCCCCCCGAAAACAAAACCGGGGGGGATCACTACCGGTTCGAACCCCCCCTCCCCCACACCTCGAAAACCAGGGGGGGTCACTACTGGTTCGAACCCCTCCCCCCCCCTTGCCGCCGGCAAACGATGCCCGCTCCTCGGGACAGTTGGAGAATGGTGGGGAGGTTGGGACAGTGGTGCGGACAGTGGTGGGCACGGTGGTGGTGGGGACGATGGGGAGGGGACAGGACAGTGGTGGGGACAGTGGGACAGTGGTGGGGACGGTAGTGGTGGGGACAGTGGTGAAGGCGGTGGTGAGGACAGTGGTGGGACAGTAGTACAGTGGGGAAAGTGGTGGGGACAGTGGGGACAGTGGGACAGTGTTGGGGACAGTGCGGACGGTGGGACAGCACAGTGCGACAGCGGCGGGGAAAAAGAGACAGTGGTGGGAACAGTGGGGACGGTGGGACAGTGGTGGGGACCGTGGGGAAAGTGAGGAGAGTGGGACCGAGACACTGGTGGGGGCACTGATGGGGACAGCGGGGACAATGGTAGGAACAATGGGGACAGTGGGACAGTGGTGGGGACGGTGGTGGTGGGGACAGTGGTGTGGGGACAGTGGTGGGAACAGCGGGGACAGTGGTGGGAACAGTGGGACAGCTCAGTGGGACAGCGGCGGGGACAGTGGGACAGTGGGGACCGTGGGACAGAGTTGGGGCCGTGGAGAAGTAACCGTGGTGGGAACAGTGGCGGGGACAGTGGGGACAGTGCGACAGTGGTGGGGGCACTGGTGAAGACAGTGGTGACGGTGGTGGGAACAGTGGGGACAGTGGTGGTGAGGACAGTGGTGCTGGGGACATTCGAACCAGTAGTGACCCCCCCCGTTTTTCGAGGGGGGGGGGGTCGAACAGGTAGTGACCCCTCTCTGGTTTTCTGGGGGGGGGAGGGGTTCGAATCGGTAGTGACCCCCTCCGGTTTTCCGAGGGGGGGGGTAGGGAGGGGGGGGGGTTGCCGGGGGGGGGAGGGGGGGGGGGTCCAGCAGGGGGGGGAGATTTTCGGAGGGGGAGGGAGACCACCGGGTTCCGGAGGAAGAGGGGGGGAATTTTCCACAGTAAAGCGGCGGTGGATCACGCTCTCTCAGATATTGAGAAACGCCTCAAGGAGGAGGCGCCAGCCACTAATACGCATCATTAGAAAAGCCTGACAAGGTAGGAGCTGGTGAAGGCCGCTCCTGCAGAGGGGTGCCTGCCTTCAGCGAGTCAATTACGAGCCCGCCGACTGCGCGGAGGAGGTAGGAGGAGGAGGCATGAGGAGCGGGACGTGGGAGAAGAAGGGAGGAAGGAGAAGCAGGGAGGAGAGAGGGAGGAGGGGAGAGTGCGAGGACGAGGAGGGCGAGGACGAGAAAGGAATCCCCTCCTCCCACCTCTGGGCACGCCGATCGGAGGCGCGGAAGACCCCGACGGCGCAGTCGTCGGGCGTCGTCTTCGTGGTCGCCCGTCGTCCGCCGTCGACCGTAGCTCTCGACCCTTCTCGATCCTCGATCCTCGACCCTCGACGCTCCTCCTCGAACCTCGATCCTCGATCCTCGATCTCCACCTCCACCTCCTCCTCCTGCTCCTCCTCCTCCTCCTCCACCTCCTCCTCCTCCTCCTCCTCCTCCTCACCTCCTCCTCCTCCCTCTCGACCTCCTCCTCCCTCTCGACCTCCTCCTGCCCCACGGCCTCCTCCCTCGACCCGCCCGCCCGCGCGCGCGTCCTGCGCGCTGTGCGCCTCGGCCGCACGGTTCCTCTCCTGGCGGATCTACAGCAAGCGGGCGCGGGCGACCGTGGACGAACGCACGAACGAACGATCGGCGGCGGCGACGACGACAACTGCCGACGGCGATGCCAACGACGGAAGACGACGGGCGACGGCAAAGGACGACGGACGACGACGGACGGAAAGCGACGAAGGACGACGGCGACGGACGACGCACGCTGGACGACGGACGACGGATGACGCGCGATGGACGACGACGACGACGACGACGCACGACGACGACGACGACGACGACGACGACGACGACGACGACGACGACGGACGACGGACGACAGATGACGACGAAGACGACGACGACGAAAACTGACGATGGACGACGACGACAACCGACGACGACGACAGATGACGGACGACGACGACAACGACGACGACAACGACGGACGACGGCGAACGACGACGGCGACGACGGCGACGACGACGACGACGACGACGACGACGACGACGGACGACGGACCACGACGACGACGACGGACGACGGACGACGGAAGGCGACGCACGACGACGACGACGACGACGACGACGGACGACGCACGCTGCCGACGACTGATGACGGCGACAACGGCCGACGACGGCGAGGACGGACGACGGATGACGGCGACGGACGACGGACGACGGCGGCAGACGACGGACGACGGACGACGGACGACGGACTGACGACGGACGACGACGACGACGACGACGACGATGACGACGGACGACGACGAGGGCGACGACGACGACGACGACAGACGACAGACGACCGACCGACGACGACGACGACGACGGACGACGGACGACGGACAACGACGACGACGACGACGACGACGACGACAACGGACGACAGACAACGACGATAACGACGGACAACGGACGACGGACGGTGACCATGACGACGAGGACGACGACGAGGACGACTGACGACGGAGGACGGACGACAGACGACGGGCGACAAACGACGGACGACGACGGACGACGACGACGACGACGACGACGACGACGACGACGACGACGACGACGACGACGGACGACGGACGACGGACGACAGATGACGACGAAGACGACGACGACGGACGACCACGGTCGACGACGGACGACGACGACGGCGACGACGACGACGATAACGGCAACGACGACAATGGACGACGACGGACGACGACGACGACGGCAACGACGACGACGGACGACGACAACGACGACGACGACGACGGACGCCGGACGCAGGACGACGGACGACGTCGGACGACGACGACGACGACGACGACGACGACGACGACGGACGACGACGACGACGGACGGACGACGACGACGGACGGACGACGACGACGACGACGACGACAAAGAACGACGACGACGACGGACGACGACCAAGACGATGACCATGACGGACGACGACCAGGACGACGACGGACGACGACCAGGACGACGACGACCATGACGAACGATGATAAAGACGGATGACGGACGACGACCAGGACGATGACCATGACCATGACGGACGACCAGGACGATGACCAGGGCAACGACGAACGACGGAGGACGGACGACGGACGGCCGACTACCGACCACGGATGACGGACGACGGACGACGACGACGACGACGACGACGACGACGATGGACGACGACGGCGATTGACGACGACGACGACGACGCCGGACGCTGCCGACGACGGAGAAGACGTCGTCGACGGCGACGGACGACGATGGACGACGACGACGGACGACGACGACGGACGACGACGACGATGACGACGACGACGGATGACGGACGAAGGACGACGGACGACGGACGACGACGGCGACGATGACGACGACAACGGATGACGAACCACGGACGACGGACGACGGACAACGATGACGATTACGACGTCGACGACGACGGACGACGACGACGACGACCAGGACCATGACGGACGACGACGACGACGAAAACAACGGACGACGGACGTCGGACGACGGACGACTGACGACGGCCATCGGACGACGGACGACGGACGACGACGACGACGACGACGGCGACGACGACGACGACGACGACGACGGACGACGACGGCGACGACGACGACGAACGAAGACGGACGACGACTCCAGCGACGACAGCGACGACGGCGACGGACGACGGCGACGGAAGACGGACGACGGACGACGGGCGACGGACGACGGAAAACGGACGACGGACTACGGACGACAGATGACGACGACGGCGGCGACGACAGACGACGACGACGAGGACGACGAGGACAACGACGGCGACGGACGAAGTCGACGATGACAACGAAGACGGACGACGACGGACGACGGCAGCCGACGACAAAGAACGACGACGACGACGGCGGCGACGACGACGACGACGGACGATGACGGACGACGACGACGACGACGACGACGACGGACAACGGACGACGGACGACGGACGACGGAAAACAGACGACGGTCGACATCGACGACGACGACAGACGACGACGACGACGACGACGACGACGACGACGACGACGGACGACAACAAAAACGACGACGACAACGACGACGACGGCAACGACCACGGACGACACACGACGACGGACGACGACGACGATGGACGACGACGACGACGAGGACGAGGACGACGACGACCACGATTCCAACGACGACGACGACGGGCGACGACGACGACAACGACGACGACGACGACGACGGACGATAACAGGCGACGACGGACGACGACGACGACGACCACGGACGAAAACGACGACGACGATGACGACGACGACGGACGACGGACGACGACGACGGCGAGGTCAACGACGGCGACGACGATGGACGACGGACGACGGACCACGGACGACGGAAGACGGACGACGGACGCCGGACGACGGACGACGGAAGACGACGACGACGACGACGACGAAGACGACGGCGACGACGACCACGACGACGGCGACAAGGACGACGACGAAGGACGATTGGCGACGGACGCCAGACGACGGGCGACGGACGACAAACGGCCGACGATGGACAACGACGACGACGACGACAACGGATGATGGACGACGACGACGACGACGACGACGACAGAAGCCGACGACGGACGACGACGACGACGACGGAAAAGACGAGGACGATGGACGACGACGACGATCACGACGGACGACGACGAAGGACAACGACGACGACGACGACGAAGACGACGGCGACGACGACAACGACTGACGACAACGGACGACCACGACGATGACAAACCACGGACGACGGACGACGGACAACAGAAGAACGATGATGACGACGACGGCTGGCCGACAACGACGACGACGACGAACGATGACGGACGACGACGATGACGACGACGAGGATGACGACGACGACGACGATGACGACGGACGACGACGACGACGATGGACGACGACGGCGACGGCGACGACGACGAATACGACGACGACAACGACCAAAACGACGACGGACGACGACGGAAGAGACGACGGAAAAGACGACGGCGGAGAACGACAAACGACGACAACGACGGACGACGACGACAACAATGACGACGGACGACGACGAACAACGACGAACAACGACGAACGACGACGACGACGATAACGACGACGACGATGGAGACGACGGAGACGACGACGACGAACACGACGACGACGACGACGACGACGACAACGACAACGGCGACGACAACGACGACGACGACGACGACGACGACGGACGACCACGGACGACGACGACGACGACGATGGACGACGACGACGACGACGACGATGACGACGACGACGACGATTACGACGTCGACGACGACGACGACTACGACGGCGACAGCGGACGACGGCGAGCGACGACGGCGAAGACGGACAGCAACGATGACGACGACGACGACGACGACGACGACGACGGCGACGACGACGACGACGACGACGACGGACGGCGACGGACGACGACGGAAAACGATGACGACGACGACGACGACGCCCGATGTCGGAAGACGACGAGGACGACGACGACGACGACGTCGACGACGGACGACGGACGGCGAAACACGAACGACGGACGACGGACGACGACGACGACGACGTCGACGAGGACGTCGGAAAACAAATGACGGAAGACGAACGAAAAAACAACGATCAAGGGTCTGACGACGCTCCGTAAGGGGGCCCTTGAGATGAAGGCCAGGCTCCGCGCCAGCTCCGGGCTTGAAAATGGCCTGACGCGGAAACCGTAGGGTTGGATAACCCAACTTTGGAGAAATTAGAAAGCGGCGCAGCGGGCGACGGCGGGACCGCAAAACATGCGCAGGGTTGGCGGGCCTGGGAGGAAAGGATAAAGAATTTGGCCAGGCGCTGCGCTACGGGATGGTCAATGAAACACGTGTTCGCCCTTGCACGCGACGACCTGCCAACCTAGATACCTGCCCCACAGCCACGACCCCGAGTGACTCGGCGCATCAGACCCGAAGGAGCGTGCTGCAGACAGCTGATGTAGCACAACCTTGATTGGATTGGCAGAGACCGCGCGCTTGTGAAGATTACGGCATGTAGAACCATTGATTTCTTGCGAACGAGATTAATGTTCGTGCAATTGAAACCCTGCGCGATCTCATCCCTCGTGGACCGACGGAGCAGTAGGTTGGAATAGGACCAGTAGGCGCGCGATGACATCGCCCACGGCGCACTGAATCCACCACCGTGCCATCTGGCACGAAGTGAAAAGCCCCAAGGCTCACAGCTGTGCTGGAACTGCTGCAGCCAAGATTGAAGGCCCAGAACTCTGGAGTTCTGGGCCATCCCGGGGTCTTTCCCCCGTGAGTTCTAGAATGTTTCCTGCCGGCCCTCTGGACGCTGCCCGCCCAGAACGACCTCCCGAACCCTCCGGCGTGTCCACGAGCGCTCCGCTTCACAGAAAAATGGCTCCAAGACAACCGAGATGGCCCCCAGACGGCCCACGAGGATTTCAACCCAGCCCAAAAGGTTTCCAAAAACACTCCCAAGAGGGCACCAAGAGGCAACACATGTTGATGT